AGCTACTTTTGCAGTAGGTACTATTACACTACCTTCTGGGTTTCACTCCTACTAGTCCGAAACTGTAAGCTTCAACGCGCATATGGCTATTTTTGAGAGAAAAAATGATATTAGTCACCTTAGTCGACTCGATCTTCCTTCCACTTTAGTTCTAGTGTCCGTGATTTAGCGGGAGCGGCCAGGTATGGATGATGGCGGAGGTAGTTGTGATGGCGACAAGTCATAATTATGAAATGGTTGAAAATGTGTCAGAGTCGGAACAGTCAGATGACACCGAACCAGAAAAATTGCAAATATCGAAAGGAGCTTGAATATCACGCCCAAGATCATTTGAGCGGACCTGAAAGTCAACGCAAACCAGGACAAGAGTGAGTCAAGGACAATCTACGAAGGTTGTGCGTATTAGCCCTGCCGCTAGAGTTACGGAGTTCTCTCAAGAGTTTCTGACCATCTCTACTGGAAAGTTGTTTTGTGGAGTTTATCACCTTGTAGTGATGCCAAAGTGATGCCAAAAAGGCAAAACGCCTTTTGAAATGCTTCGGAGTGACGTTGCCGCAGTAAGCAGCAGAAGGTGAAAGTTAAGATCTATCAATCCACTTGATCAGTCTCATGGAAGCAGTGAAGGCATACTGAACATATAGACGGAAGACGCCTCACCAAGCCGCTTACAAGTTTGCTGCAGCTGATGTTTCCAATAGTGTTGATCATCTGGCATGGCGGAAAGATCAAGATGACCTCAATTGGCAGAAGGCTGTAAAGATTGTGCTCACCATCCCACCCTCATCTGCAGCTCCTGGATGAGTGTTCTTCTCCTCGAGTCGGCAATGTAATACCAGCAGCAATGTTACACTGGAAGGTCACATCGCTAATGCTGCAGCACAGGGAAGCTGAGTAGGGAGTTGCGAGCTTACAACTGAGATCCATACTGCACAACGAGAGGCAGAACATTATGTCAGTAGTCTTGATGATTTTTACCCCAACACAAGTGCATTCACAGTCACTCAAGAGATATTGAAACCCCGAAAGGAATGCATGCAAGTACTTTTATACAGTATTTGCCAGACTGTCATATGCTGCAGCCGATTTTGAATTTATGACATTCTTTACGGTCCTTTTTACCCACACTTCTCACTTCAGGTACGAGCGTTAAAGTGCAGAACGAGCATTCAAACTAGCATCATTTGCTGAAATAACGAGCAGTGCTGAAAGCATTATTACTAGTCAAACATACGAGCATTAGCCGCCGATGCCTAGATGGGGCCGCTCCCATCCAGACAATGGGGCAGTACATGTACTCCACCACTGGGCGCACAAAGGCATTGTATTTGTAGGCTTGTATGCGACCGGGAACGTCTAAAGTAAGAGGTGGAAAGCCTGACGCAAAGCGCCAAGTCGGTGTGTTGCCCAGAGGGCTACCGTACGAAGGTCGCGGCGGAAGGTAAGCTGACCATCGAAGCTGACACCCAAGATTTTGAGCTCCTCTTGTTCCCTCACGTTAGATCCGTTGAAATCAATCTGTGACATGTCCCATTGGGTGTGGTATGGTCGTTGCTTACGCCTGGTTCACAATAAAGGCATATCTTCCGCTCGTCACAGTTAAAATAAAATTAAAATAAATTTCACGGTTCGCGTGAGACTCGGCTGGAAGCCGAGTTTTCCGCATCCGCCGTGGGAACGCCACCACCCTCTAGGATCAAAGGCGCAGATGCAGCTCCTAAGCGGTGGAAGGTGAGTTGTTGTTGTTGTATACTTTATTTATAGTGGAAATCAAAACAGGCAAAATGCCTAATAACATTGGACCCACTGTGAATAACATGTTAAAGGATATTGTGGAGAAAAAGTGAGTAGATCAGACCCACCACCAAGTGGTCAAAGACCGAAATCCCATTCGCTGCATCCATGTTTTACTCGTGCCAGGCCACGAGTTCCCACTTAACTGTGGGTCGCAGCACGACTGGAAAAATTCCTTCCGCTTCCAAGCAGGACTTGAACCTGGTACCCTCTGTTTCTCAATCAAGGTCTTAGACCATCCCACTATGCCTACAGTTCCACACAGTTAATTGGGAACTCGTGGCCTGGCACGAGGAAAACATGGATGCAGTGAATGGGATTTTCGGTCTTTGACCACATGCTGGTGAGCTGATCTACTCACCTCAGTGTCTGCTCCAGCGCCGGGTGAGCCGGGTAATCCATCCGGTTGGGCGACGCTTGGACCCGGTTGAAAATATAGTACCGGGTCACCTGTGACCCGGTTGGTACTTTACACTTTCGAACTTTGAAAGGACTGACTACATGGCTTGTATCGTTGTATGTGTCAGATACTTCTTCTTCTTTCATAATTTTCTAATTCCTGTCCTCTCTTTTCTAAATGCGGCTTATCCATTCGCCTTAGATCATTGGGCGTACATGTGTACCGGGCTCCCACCCGGTTGAAATGGTTGCGCCAGGTACACGTGTACCCGGCTGTCCTACAATCCTGGTGCAGACACTGCACCTCCCACCGCTTTAGGAGCTGTATTTGTATTTATATCATTATCTCATGGCACATCATGATGACGGCCAATAAAACTGAGACAAGGGTGAAAGCCAACCACAGCAGTAAAACAGATAAAAGAATACAAATAAGAGGCAAAGAAGGCAAAGGAGGAGACAAACCAGCAGGATATACATGAAACCTATAATTGAGCAGAGATTTTAGCAACAAAATTATCCATCGACGTGCTGGTCTTGGCCTGCGTTGGTAATGTTGCCCAAAACACATAGCCAGCAAAGATCGGGGATCTAGTGAATAGGGTGGAGGCAGCGCGTGGGACTGAGTGAGTTCCGGGTATTCCGTGTTTCGGAGAACCAATTATAAGCCTGCATATGCAAGGGTATTTTATTTAGTAATATTTTATGTATGAGAACACAGAGGTGGTACTTATGTCGAGTGGAAAGGGGACTGATCTTGGCAATTTCGTAAAGACTAGCGGAGGGAAAGCGACGATCTTTGCTAAATACGATTTTAAGGAGCATGCGGTTATGGGTTTCTAGCTTGTTCAATACAGTAGTAGTTATGCCAGACCAAGCAGTATCACAGTAGTCAAGTAAGGGCAATATATACCGGTAGCAACGATAAAACAAGCGTTTGCAAGAAAGAGGAAGATGTCTACAGTGGGCTTGAAGAGCCCCAAGGATGGAGCTTGTGCGCTTGCAGACATACTGCACATGGGGTGACCACGACGCTGCATCTGCGCCTTGATCCTTGAAGGGCGGTGGCGTTCCTACGGATGCGGCAAACTCGGCCTCTATCTAGAGAAACCGAGTTTCACGCGAACCGTGAAATTTTTAAAAATTCCGCTCGTCAGCACGACGACATTTGAAGGCAACCCTCATTCGTAGAGAAAGATCTAAATTCCCTAGCAAAATGCACATGATTGTCATGTTACATGTACATGCAAGTCGGGATGAAAAAATCACGTTTCGACGCAGTTAGACGGAGTTTTCAGCATCCGTAGGAATGACACCATCCCTGCTAGTTAGACGTAGATCTACAGCGGCGGTGGGAGGTGAGTAGTTCAGCCCAACAGCAAAGTGGTCAAAGACCGAAAATCCAATTCTTGACCGGATAAGAAATACCAGTACATGTAATCCGTTTGTGGTCAAATTAATTCGTTATAGACTCACCTTCAGCTGTGCCACGCACAGGTTCGATTCCCTCATTACAAGACAAAGAAAATGGCCATGGGCTACGAAATTGCTCGGATGGCTCGACAGGTTTGGGTTTGTTTCTTTCTAGCTACATACAAGTATTATGTAGCTCGATGGATGCACATGTGTGTCTTGTGTGGTCTGACGGAAAACTGTCTAGCATGTACATAAAGTACCTAAGATTCTTTATAATGGGTTGCATTGTAAAGGGGTCTGGGCAAAACGTTGTCCCATAGCGGGAACATGATTTCTGAGGCGGATAACGACCTAAATAATTTAATTAGGCCTCCCCGGTAGTACATTGGGTACTGCACTTGCCTGCGACCCGAGAGGTCGCGGGTTCGAGTCCCGCAGTCGCACATCTGACTGCAAAATCCCCACGACGCAGCTCACCAGATCAAGGTGTACGTGTGGGTCCTCTGCACTCAGTAGAGTCAAGTCGAGCGAGCTGCAACTCCCGGTGCCGAAAGGCGGGCTAACGCCCCTACATGGCTACTTCCCCTTGTCTAACCCCAAGACGAAATGCATGATAGTAGCCGACTGGCCGAAATTGGAAAAAAAATTAGGCTAAAACAGCAGGAAAAGGTGCACGTCCTGATGGAGTAGTACTAGTAAATATAGACTCGTTCAATGATCGTAAAGCAGTCGAGTGCACATGCTCTCTTCGTAGGTGAACTACAGAACTAACTTCTTTTACGCTGAAGTACCAGACAAATCACAACCAACTAATACTCGTACTAGTAGTAATACTTACTTCCATGCCATGTTACGTAACTCGTTGATGTAGTTATTGTACTGGCCCGAAGAAATCCGATCTCCGTGTCTAAAACAGCGCCCCTTTTCCATGCACGATCCAAAAACCCATCCAAGTCAAGGCTCAGGGCCTAGGCTAGGGCCTCAGCAGGTTCAGGCACTGCTCGGGTCGGATTTCTTTGGCCACAACCAGGCCTCAGGAACTACAATCATGTATGAGTCTACCATAGTGGCACGGTCCACAGTAATTTTTAATACTAGTATTACAGCAGTGAAAGCGGGGGCGCGGTTAGCGCTGGCGCCGTCGGCCATGCACGACTCGACTAGACTGCGCTACTTCTACGCGTATACTGCTACGTCAGGTGCCCTAAAAAATCGCCATATCGATGACGGATGCTTCGATGCTGAAAATAATGCGCTACGTAGATTCTACGGCGCTGTGGATGACATCACAAGTAGATACGGAAAATGATTTTGAGTAGTACATCTATCTATCTACGTCTTTACACGTAACATGTCGTTTGCTGGACTGGATCCAGGCCGGTGCTTTGGTTGGTCATTCTGGGTAGGAGTTTCACTCGAACTCGTGCTCTTCTTGCACGTTTGTGCGGGCCAGTTTCTCTGTCGTTGGCGGAGGGTCACAGCGCACGACATTACCTCATACAGCAGTGTGATTCAGGCGAAGCAAGTTATTATCAGCAGTTAGTTTCTGTCTCGGTCCCTTGGCCTTGTTGGATGCGTGTGGGGTCAATTGCAGCCAGTGTTGCACCGCTAGCTATGCATGCCGAGGATAACCTCGAAGTGGTCTTCTGGAGAAAGTAACGAAGGTAGTTGTAGACGCAGCCGTCCTCGAGTCACCGATGCGCTTTTTTGATGCTGTCTCAAGATAAGTGACTGGTGCTGGAAGAGCGGACGAGGAGGCCGGGTATTCTGTTGGTTTCCGCGTCCGTGAAGAGAATCAATGAATGGAGGGTGACGGCCACTCGCACAGGTATCGGTGCCCATACCTGTGACTCGGATGGAGTTGGTACGTTCCGACTGAGCTCTCTACCGATACGAATCTACAAGCGCTGACTGCAGGCCGTCCGGTTCATCTCCGCTGTTCTGGCCAGCAACGGTTCCGACTCGCATCAGCACGCCACGTGCTTCTGTTGTTGAACTGTGGAGTGTGGGCCAAGCGACCTCACTGTCCTCAGGCACCATGCCCTTTTTCAAGAAGAAAAGCTCGCCTACGCAGCCTAAAGATGAGCAGCTCTCAGCGGATGCGGCAAGTCAGCTCCCCACCAGTCCGGAATCACCCAGGACAAGGATGGTTCACCATATAGAGTACCTCCTGTCTGATCACAGAAATGGTGGCAGCAACAGCAGCATTGGCAACAGCGCAGAGAAGGACAAGAAATCAGGGAAGGCCGCACGTGGCAAAAAAGGAGAACAGCGAGGACAGGTGAAGTTGCGACTGAGTCGATTCTCTCAGCCGTCGGCGTCATCGGCCGCTGCCAACGAGGAGGTGTCGCCGACTGTGTCGCGACTAGGCCAGCACTTGCGCCAGAGCGTGCCGCCCGTCATCGCGTGCGGCGTGGGCTGCGGTGGCCGAGCATGCAAGTACGAGAGTGCGGCGGCGTGGCCGGAGGACGCTCAGGCGCTCAAAGGAATCTTTTCCCACTGGTGCGTACACAGCTTGCTGTAACCCTTACCAAATAATTGTATAATGTATTCTCCGAAGTATAAGGCGCACTTTGAACACTCAGCATTCACCCAAGAAATGGCAGGAGGTGCGGCTTATACTCCGAAGATCAAATTAACGTTGATATGGTAGATGTGTGTATTTTGCGGCAAAAAGGGGTGTGCGGTTTATACCGTATTTCCGCAAATAGAAGACTGTCCTCGTATACAACGCCTTCCTCGAATACAAGGCCGGGGCAGGGGGTGATTGAAAAAATACAAGACCGTCTCCGATTAGAAGACCGGGCCTGCTAAATGAGTCTTACGACTGCGCATGCTGCGCATAGAAGAGCGTGCTCAAACTATGGGCAAAAATAGAAGACCGTGCTCAAACGGTGTAGAAGAAAAATGGAAGAACGGGGGGTAAAACTGTGTGGCGAAAAATAGAAGACCGTGGAGTCAACTGGGTTGAAAGAATAAAAGCCCGTCCTCGAATACAAGACCGTCCTCGATTATAAGGCCGGGTCAGGACGAGTTTGAAAAAGTAGTAGACCGGCCTACTATTTGCAGAAATACTGTACTCCAGTGGGGCCTGTACTCCGCGAAACACGGTAAATGCTAGGGCTAAAGACGTAGGGAAACCATCGCTGTGAAGTAGAATCCAGAAAAGCTTGCTATATATTTCTAGTGCAACTGCGAAACTGCCCTGTTAGTGGCGCCATGAGTGTAGGACCAGGCATGCACGACTGTCCTTGACTTGAACAACGGAGAAATCAAAATCATTTGTAGTATGTAGCGGTGCTGCCAGCCTTCCGTACTTTTACGCTCTTTGTACGGGAAATCGCTCCTTTGTCCGCACCAAGGAATTGGAGCAGAAATTCACGAAAGTTGAAAATGAATCGAGGAGCTGAGGAGCATGGCAAGAAAAGCTGAGCAGTGACTCTATTACACTGGTTGTACCAAAGTAAGTGCATGCTGTGCTACGACTACTGAAGAGTGCTGGGACACTCCATTTTTGAAAAGAGAATAAAGGCACTCGAAGTTGCGAGTTCTGAAAATGTTGACCCTAGTCCAACACTCGACTCAGTTCTTACATTGCGAAGCAAGCTACCAGTACACAACTTGAAGATCGAGAGCAATTGCCTTGGTTGGCTATCACCCCTCTCTCGCACTTTGCGTGCCAATTGGTCATGGACCACGAGTTGAGTGAAATAAATAAAATAAAAATAAATTGTTTCTTGTAAAAATCATTTTTAATAAAAAGAGAGAGAGGACCATCAGTGTACAAGTTCTCCGTTTGCTCCAACACTAACGATTATAAGCAGGATACGGATGAGTCAGAATGTGCGACAATAAGCACAAAAATGACTGATGTGATAGTGACATTCAACGACCTGATGCTTAGCTGTAAAGTTATCACCCCTGGAATGCGCAAACCAACCGCCTTCCAACTTGAAAGGTTCTAGTTAGGAAAGAACGTTCGAAAGAGGAAGGTAAGTGCACTCCAGGCGAAAACAAGCTAAGCATCACAGCAAACTAAGAATGTTAGCTACGACAAGATGATGACGAAGGACCATGCACAGGACGGCCACGGCTCGACGACCACCCAACTTGGGAGGCTCATGTTATCAGAGATAAGTAAAAGAGAACGTTATTTCGTAAATTAGAACCTTCCAAGTTGAAAGGCTGTTGGTTTACGCATTCCAGTTTAATTGTTAACGTTGGACAAAACGAAAAACTTGTAAACTTACGGTCTTCTCTTTTTTTAAATTTTAATCCTTAGTTCTCCATCCGAGTACAAATCATCTGCGAATCTAAATTTACACCAGTTTGGCGTGTAGTACTAAATTTACTTCGCAGTACACTACTCTGAAGCGTGGTACTAAATCACTACTCTGAAGCGTAGTACTAAATCACTACTCTGAAGCGTGAGTACTAAATCACTACTCTGAAGCGTAGTACTAAATTTACACTTTTCTGAAACACTAGCTGTAACCTGGAGCTTCCTAGATATAAAACAAAATATCAAGTGAGGGTTCCTGGTTCCAGTCCTGGTGGTGACAGTCAATTCTTTCCTCAGACTTTCCCATCTTCAACCACCTCAAATTTTTGAATATCATATCAACCAGTAAAGTTCGCTAATACGGAAGTTAAGGCCATATATAATAAGGGGCACCTTTGAAGAGTTTCAGTGGAGATACTGTGTTACTACTTCTTGTGACTTTCTGGAAATAGTGACACCATAGTCATATCTATGGCCTTTCCCCATCAAAATGTATGTGATTTGGAGTTACATGTACACAGGAGAAGGGAGATATGAGTATACTCTTGTAGTGACAAAACTGGGACTGGCAGTGTAGGACTATGGAAACATATGATGTTGTTCCTGGATGAATTGTACCTCCAGTAGCAGTACTGCAGAGATAAGATAGGTACAGGGGAGACTGACAAATGTCATGCTATCCAAAACAAATCACAAGAAAAAATCTAATTTTGTCCAGAAAATCACATTTACACTAGTGACTTGGTGAAGTAAGAGATATTATTACACTCTGGTCCTTATGAGGTTCTTGGTACACTGAGTGTGACAGGCTGTAGCTCTCTCAGAGCTGGCATGCAGGGTGGGCGCCCACTCAAGCAGATACCAGTGGGACAGGTGTAGCAGGGTGCAGCCTGCAGGCAACAGCATTAGACATGTAGGGCAAGAGTACATTGTACATAAGTCATAGCCATCCAAGTGTGTGCAACTGCCTCTCTACACTACAAATAGTACAATCTATCCTGGAATGGCAATGATGAATCAGCAGATTCACCTGACATTCTGTAGCTCAGTAGGCTATGCTGACAACAGTGCAAAATGACCACCACTCAGGCGTTGAATCCACAGCAGGGCAGCTTGCAACCCTGTGCCTATCTTCTTTTTCCTCTTTCTGCAAACAATACTGTGGTCCTATGCTGGAGTTGCAAGCTCTTTTAAGGGTTATGGACCTTTGCTGATAGGCTATTTTCGACTCTCAATGCCTGATACATGTGTTATTGGGGGGGGGGGCAGACCAGTCCCAAAAACTAAGCCATCTCCACCTTCTGTGTATTCATTCACAGTGCACTACTACGGTGGTGGCCAGGGTTCAACAGTGTGCACACTGCAGAGTACATACTTTATAACATGTCATTTTAGGTACATTAAAATGTGGGTGCAAGGGACCTGCCAGGTTTCAGCAATTCAGGTGTAATGTAGAGTTAGGTGAGCAGCATTCCCTGCACCTACAGTGCATACTCTAGTTCCCTGCACCTACAGTGCATACTCTAGTTCCCTGCACCTACAGTGCATACTCTAGTTCCCTGCACCTACAGTGCATACTCTAGTGGCTTTCAGGTGTAATCTAAATTTAGGTACCAGGTTTCTCTACCAACGTCTACATGTTCTACAGTACTGGGGCATTACTTGCAATGCAATGAGGGGTGTGTGACTACTGGTGTTTGGGTGTGAGTGGGTGTTTGGGTGTGGGTGAGGGCAAGAGTAGTACAACAGCATTCTGTCAGTTGCATTATGCAGGGAAGAGGTCAAAAAGAGAGTGGGAAAATGGTTCTTGTCACAGCAAAAAATAATGGATTGCATCATTCAGGCAGCTCCATGTGGTGTAGTGGTGATGCAGTGTTCTGCCACATACCTGCTCAGGATAACTATGAAGCAATCCACCCATGCCTAAACGTCAGAAGCTGCATTCTCTGGGTTTCATGTTGTCTTGGTAATAGTAGTGCAATACGCACAACTGTTGGGAGGCTTGCTGCTGTCTACAGTCCATTCAGAAACAGATGAGCTCTGGCTCTGGACAGCTACAATGTTTGACGATTTTGTGGTACACTGTGCAACTTGAAAAAGGGTCCAAAGTCACCTCAACTGGGGTTTGAACCGCAAAATGTACTGTTATGCAAGTGGAGTGAACGGCCTGGATTTCATGGTTTTTCCCCAATTCAGTGCTTCGGGGGCAAAACCTGGCCGAAATCCTATTCTTGTTATGGCTTGCTTTTTGGAGAAATAGACTTCAAAAACACAATTGGGAGAGCATTCCGTGGGGGATTGCTAAAACAAGTGTGACGAAAACTCAAAATTTGACCCGTTTATGGCCAAAAGCTAGGATATCATCTTTTTTCTGAATGAACTGTAGTGCCTTAATAACAGTAGTTACGTAACGTCAGTTGTTTCATAGTCTTCTGCAGAGAAACTACCAAGTATTACAGCTACTGAGATTGTAGATTCTGGACGTTTTAAACGCACAGCTGTTTGTCTCAGCTATCTATACACAGAGTTGCGAGCAGAGTGGCACGACTCTTATGGCAGAATTTGAAATATGTGTAGCTAGAATGATTTACTAATTGTATGTGGTTGATAGCAGCATTGATGTCGACAATGAGTTCATGAAGAATAGAAGACAGTATCGCATCCACGACAACCCCCTCCTCCCCTTGCCTTACTATAAGATATTTGAAATATGCGCGTGTATGTGTGTGTGTGTGTGTATGTGTGTGCCTGTGTGTGTATGTGTGAGTGTGTGTGTATATGTGTGTGTGTGTGTGCATGTGTGTGTGTGTGTGTGTGTGTGTGTGTATGTGGCTGTGTTGTAGGGTAACTGATGATATCCTCGCTATGGCTAGGCCTAACACCCTTCAGATCAAGGAGCACAAACTGTATGAACAGTTTCAAAGGTATGGCTTGTCTCACTATGCTGATTACCTGGAAAGAATAATCCTCACACCGACCAACCAGCCGCCGTATCCACATGCACTCAGCAGATTTTCTCCCTAGTCACTGCACAAATTGAATGGACTAATGCTAATAATCATGCTACATGTAATTTCAAATAAATACAACTTTTTTTAAGTGACGTCTGCAGCAGAGAGACCGTATTTTGAGCGTTTGAGTTGAAATACCCTAATGTGTCAGGGTTCGTCGCAAAGATTTCTGTCATCCCTGAAACGAACTTCGTTCATTTTCTACTCGGACCCCTCCCTCTGAAACGAACGAAGCTTGCCATGCTGGACGACGGAAATCGCATGCATGTCATGTGTGCAGTGTCCGTCGACTTGCGATTTTGGCTCGCACAAATCCCCCCCCCCCCCCCCACGAATGATGATCGTTTAAGGGACGACAAAAAAAATTGCGACGACCCCAAGTGGCTGCAACGGAGTCTGTGAGTGCTTAGAAATTTTTAAATACACAACAACGAGAACAGCAACGAAGACGACGGCGGTGGCAGAGCTTTTCATGTTATTTTTTCACTTGATTGCAGACAGACACTGGCGGCATGCCAGTTTTCACGTGGCTCTGTGTGGAGTCAGATGCCAGAACTAGTGTAGCAGGACAAGCACCACTGGGCGAGCCAGTCAGTAGGATATTCCTGTTTCAGGCCCACCCTCGGTACTAGGCAACCGGGGGGGGGGGGGGGGGGGTCAAAATTCTTATGAGTATTATCTACAATCCGGACTTGCATGTACGACTGTCACAATAATGCGCTTCAGAGGTCGGGGGATTTTGTATTGTCTCGTAGCCAATGTCGTACTAACGAGGGTAGACCTGTACCACCTTGGCAGGAGTGCTGTAACCCTGTGCACCGGGACAAGGCAGGCACGATATCAACTTGAGGCTGCGACGTCCTCTGTATTCCACCTCTATCCATATGATATACGTTATTATCGTCTCCTGGACTTGGCACCAGAATCGATTGGTTGATCCATCTTCAAGTCCAACAGAAGATAGGAGAGGCAAAATGGAAGTCACAACCGCGCGTAAATGTAGAGACCGTCTTGCCAAAGTCGGGAAGAAGGAACACATGGCAGAAAATCAGTCAAAACTTTCAGGACCAACAAGGAGGGACATAGAAACACAGCTTTCACTGGTTTAAAAAATAATAACTTCGGGATACCGAGTATGAAAGAGGGTGTCTGTTGGCTTTGCCGGTGTGTTCTGCAAAAAGGAATAATCAATGATATTTAGACTCGGATGGAGAGGGCGCATCCAAGACGTGCTAGAGCTGATTGCCAGTTAGTTGTAGAACGTCAGTACCGTCGGTCAGTGCCGTGCAATGTTATCGCATGAGCCAACTGGTGGTGGTAGTGGACATGATAGCGTAACCTGGAGTTCCTTGGTGTCTTTTTCTTCCGACATCGAAGTATAAATTAGTGAAATGCGTTCTGTTGTCCATGTTGCTGTGTAGGAACGGCATAAAGTCCCTGCTGAACCTGCAGGAGACCGGGGAGCATGAGCATTGTGGATTCGGGTTGACCAGCTGTGGACTGTCGTACTTTCCGCAGGATTTCATGGACGCTGGCAGTACGTTTGTTGTTACTTGCTCTGTTGTTCTTGCTACTCTCTCTCTCTCTCTCTCTCTCTCTTTCTTGTCCGTTTTTCCCTCACCTCTTCTTACCCGTACTGCCATGGTCACAATTGTATGTGTTCAATCTGCCTCATGCCATGTGGAGTTATGTTTGTCTATGTGCATTGGAAAGAGAAAACTTGAACCGTCCACCTCTCCACACTGCGCTTTTGGCCCACATTCACAACGCCATACTCCATAGCAACGCCATACTCCATAGCGAGGAAGTTCTTTCTTGGATAGATGCTCCACATCTGCCAGGCAGCTGTTTCGGTCATCGAGAGCTCCTCAGTGGAGGTGGATAACGAATGAAAAGCGGATAAAGGAGTGAGTGTATTTATAGGGTAAAGGTGAGAGAGAGAGAGAGAGAGAGAGAGAGAGAGAGAGAGAGAGAGAGAGAGAGAGAGAGAGAGAGAGAGAGTGCAGAGCGCACTGTGGAGAGGTGGACAGTTCAAATTATTTTTAAATGGCCAAGTTCGTCGCCACTTCTGTGCCATTGAAAGTGTGACAATTTAGCAACCCATAGTTTAACAACTGAGTACTTGTCTTCTGCACAGGTTGAGGTCATGAGAGAGAGAGAGAGAGAGAGAGAGAGAGAGAGAGAGAGAGAGAGAGAGAGAGAGAGAGACAGAGAGAGAGACAGAGACAGAGACGCAGAGAGAGAGAGAGAGAGAGAGAGAGAGAGAGAGAGAGAGAGAGAGAGAGAGAGAGAGAGAGAGAGAGAGAGAGAGAGAGAGAGAGAGAGAGAGAGAGAGAGAGAGAGAGGGAGGGAGGGAGGGAGGGAGGGAGGGAGGGAGGGAGGGAGGGAGGGAGGGAGGGAGGGAGGGAGGGAGGGAGGGAGGGAGGGAGGGAGGGAGGGAGGGAGGGAGGGAGGGAGGGAGGGAGGGAGGGAGGGAGACAGACAGACAGAGAGACAGAGATGGTGGACTACCATCACGCTATCAATCTCACTGAAAAGAAGTTAGAAGGTCTCTCACACTTCTTTTCCCTCAGTTCAGAAATGACTGTTGGTTACTTGTGCCTTTACTTTGTACACGAATAGGTTGGTATTAGCATTGCACTGTGTCAAAGAGATGTATCCCTATTGGTGGCTTATGAGGGAGTTGTGTTGTGTCCATATGTGTGCGCATGTGTGTGTGCGTGTGTGTGTGTGTGTGTGTGTGTGTGTGTTCTGTGTGTTTGAGTGTCTGAGTGTCTCTGTCTATGTGTTTGTTTGTCAAAATGGAGCTGCCGGTTCCACTCCTGGTGGTGTCCTTCCATCAATTCCTTTCTGTGTGTGTGTGTGTGTGTGTGTACATTCCCCTTTTTGCAGTACTGTGCTACCAATATGGATGGTAAGAGCACGCTGGAATTTTCTTAAGTTTCTTTCTGTACTAACTGTAAAAGGCAGCCTCTTGTCACTTATGTGACAAGTCACCAGGATGAAGCCGTATTGGGAAACCCGTGTTGTGATGCTGTTGAACACAGAAATTTCTTTCTTCAATTTTGGTCCGCGTTCGAGCAACTTTCGAAAAAACCGTGGCCGTCCACCATTGCGGTGGATAGATACGATTCGGCACGACCTGAAGGCAGCGGATCTCTCCGTGGAGGGCACTCTGCAAGCTGCAGGAGATGCACTAACTTGGCTTTACACTAGGGGTGAAACGATTAGTTCGAATATTCGAGTATTCGTTCGAAAATTTCAAACGAGCGAGTATTCGAAATTTTGCACTCGGTCGTTTTTTTGTTTTTTTTGTTTTTTTTTGGTATTGGCATTCTATTTTTCAAAAACTTCTGTTACACCGCTCGTCCACTAGTAGGCCACTGTACATGGTTGCATGCCTTATGCATTCCTTTGAGTCAGTATTTTATGACTTGGACAATGCGATCACCACGGCAAGTAACGATCTGAGATATGAACGTACTTATGAAAATCGTTACTTTACACTCTGTACAAGACGTTGGCGACTTTTGTTCTATGTTCACAGATAATTTCTTCCGAATTGGTCGAGAACTTGCAAATCTAGCGCTTTTGAATTTTGATAAAATACTCGAAATAATCGGATACTCGAATATTAGGATCTAGTGATCGATTGGTCAAAATAGATACTCGTTTCACCCCTACTTTACACTGTTGACAGATGCGGCGACTCTGCTCCTGTCTAACAGGTTCAGGGAGGATGCGAGCTGTGTGTATTATTATTATTATTATTATTATTATTGAGCAAAAAAACTGCATAGCTCGTTCCCATGTGTTTGTTCTCTTTTTTTACATTTATTACTGCAATTTACTGGCTCAGTATCTGAGTTGAAATTTTTGAGCAACTTTCTAAAATTCTGTTCTGTGGATGCAGGAAAGATTTTGGCACGCCGAACATGAAGACTCTCTTCAACATGGTCTACGTCATTGACTTTGCGTTACAGACTGGAAAGGTAAGCAGCAGCACCAGAAGCAGCGGCACACAGTCATCAACTTTTCAAAGACAACCAATGTTCTTTGGGAAAAATCATTCTACCCGTTTGAAACGCCAATTTCACAGTTGATGGCTTACATTAGACTTCCCAAACTGTTGTACAACCTAAATTTAAAATTGCGACTCTGACAAGAATGGCAAATAGCCCAAGCGACGACGGGGCATTGGCGGATTTGTCGGGCACACACGAGACAATAATTGATTCAGTTTTTTGAAATTCTGCAACGAAACCTTTTCCTCACCTGCGTAGGCAGCAAGAATATTGACGTGTCCAGGACGCTGGATCGGAGACATAAGTTTAAAATCCATATGCCATCAGGCTTCTATGCAAACCAGATATTTCTATGTGTGTCAACACTAAAACCAGGCTTACCGTAATTCCGTGCATATATGCCGATGGGCTTATATGTGAAATAATGCAGTTTGGGAATAAGATATCCAGTAAAACAAGTTCGTTTTTTAGCCCATGGGCCAATATTCGAATTTTGAAGGTTCACGAAAAAGTACAAGTCCGTTCTCATAATGGGTCTATCATATTCTACTGGTAAACTACTAAACTCCACTGACCTGCTGTACCATGGTAGCAAGAGTTCATATTGTGAAAAAATTCTACTTGACAAGTGAGTCGTATGTGTGCCTGTTCATTAGCCCATGGGCTTATAAACGGAGGTGGGCTTATATTCGGATATGGGACCATGGGCTTATAGGCGCGGAATTACGGTATGTGCCGACAGCGTATCTTCAAAATCAGGGTTGTATTCAAAACAGGCTTTGATTTGAGATGTAGGCTTTAATACAAGGCACTGCGGTATTTGTACATGTGATGTAGAGCAACTGTGCGGTACGCTTGTGCAGCTTCTAAAATGAGCCACGGTACACTTGTGTAGCGCCACCACCACCCCCACTGCCACAACAAGAGCTATGTACAACAACAAACACTCCCTCCGCACTCCACTTGTCTACCTAGTACAGATGTGACTCCCTCTGCACTCTCCACTTGTCTACCTAGTACAGATGTGATTCCCTCTGCACTCCACTTGTCTACCTAGTACAGATGTGATTCCCTCTGCACTCCACTTGTCTACTTAGTACAGATGTGATTCCCTCTGCACTCACCACTTGTCTACCTAGTACAGATGTGATTCCCTCTGCACTATCCACTTGTCTACCTAGTACAGATGTGATTCCCTCTGCACTCTCCACTTGTCTACCTAGTACAGATGTGATTCCCTCTGCACTCCACTTGTCTACCTAGTACAGATGTGATTCCCTCTGCACTCACCACTTGTCTACCTAGTACAGATGTGATTCCCTCTGCACTATCCACTTGTCTACCTAGTACAGATGTGATTCCCTCTGCACTCTCCACTTGTCTACCTAGTACAGATGTGACTCCCTCCGCACTCCACTTGTCTACCTAGTACAGATGTGGAGCCAGGGAGAACATATCTATTCTAGACGGTAGCAAAATTACGGTTACGTGAATGCCAGAAATTCCTGGCACCTGGATAACAGGGAATGGCAGGGAAGTACGGGTCACCAAAGACCCAGTCCGCAGCCGGACTTGTGATAATCGTGGATCGTCCTGGTGTGCGATTCTGTATTAGTTAGTGATTCAACGGTCAAGCTAGGTATTTGGCTCTGGACGCTGCCTCCATCAGATACACCACCACAACCGCCGCCGCCACCACCGACACTACCACCACCACCACTACCATCACTACCACCACCACCACCACCATCACTACCACCACCACCACTACCACCATCACTACCACCACCACCACCACCACCACCACCACTTCCACCATCACTATCACCACCGTCATCATCACCACAGCTACCACCACCACCAACACCCCCCCCCCCCTCCCTCCACCACCACAGAAATCGATCTGTTATAACAACGGATCACACAGATATCTAATGTAGTAGTTAAAATTTAGATTAAAATCTTGTGAAATTCCCTATCATCGTTCCACTGGCCATTTCTAGGGTATTCTAAGCTGATGGAACAATTTGTAACGGCTCTGTGTATTTTTGTTTGTGTCCGAGCGTGTGTGTGTGTGTGTGTGTGTGTGTGTGTGTGTGTGTGTGTGTGTGTGTGTGTGTGTATGCTTGTGTGTGTATGCTTGTGTGTGTATGCTTGTATGCATCATTCCGCTGTCATACGTTCACCTACAGATTGCTGTCCATTGTCACGCTGGCCTAGGTAAGACAATCTACGATGACCAGTGGTATTCTGCTAAACTCTAGTTGTGCTCAGTGAGTGCGTTTGATTACGCACTTGAGTCGATTCATGAATCGACTCAAGTGCATTCAAGTCGTTCGATTTTCATGTCATGAGCCCTGGAATCGATCCGGAATCCATTCCCCCTATTCACATGGGGTGATGTGAATAGCGCGAATCGATTCATGAATCGATTCTCGTGCATAACCGAACGCACTCACTGAAATGCGATCGAAGTGCGAAACTCATCCTGGACCTTTTTTATTTTTATTTTATTATTTTTACTATGTTCACATACGACCTGAGGTCTCGGCATCACGGCCAAAAACACGCACCCG